ACCTCCGACCAGCCGACCAGCGAGAGGGAGCAACTCTGTTAGTCAGTCTCTCCGATCCCTTTTCTTAGTTTCTATCTGTATTTTACAATTTACACACGTATGCGTATAATGGAGTAATGGGACATTCAGTATTATGCCTGATTGCCTGAGTAAATTAGCTGCTCATCTGTTTCTTCATTGCCTTCTGTATAATATTTTTGTCATTGCTAGTGGTTACACTTCCATAGCTGAACTTCCATAGCTGAACTTGTTGGTAGTAAAGCTGAGGCTAACCGTGCTGCTCATCTAATCAAGAATTAGTTTTGAAATGAGTTTATATATGGATGATATTTGAGTTTTTATTTTGTTGTTTGGTCGGGGATGATATTTGAGTTTGAATAACAGTCATATCGGGGATGATATTTGAGTTTGAATAACAGTCAGTCATAATCAATTTTAGTTTTATCATGACTTGTTAGAGTATTCTTGCCCTTACTTTTTCCTCTGTCAATTGGAAACTGATAACAAATCAATAATTTGAAGAACTTCATATATGGTGTGTTGTGAAGTTCACTTGCTCAATGTGATTTAGGATTCCAATTGTGTATTATATAATTTTGCAGCTTTAATGGCTGAAGAAGCTTCTATTACATCATCATCATCCCAACCATCTCAACCAGTTGGTGGAATGTCTCAAAGTGCTTCAACCCCTTTTCAAGCACCAACTCTTCCAGGACCTAATGAAATACCAAATCCTAATAGACCTAGTGAAGCTCCTACCCCTAACCCAACTCTTCCTGTTCAATCATCTAATCCTGTGCTTACTTCTTCTACTCCCACTCCCACACAAACAGATTCTATGAGACAAGAAACAAATGTTGAAGGAAGGGGTACAAAGAGAAAGGAAAGAGAAACTAAGCACACATCAGAGGTGTGGGAATACTTCGTGAGATTGCCAATAGAAGAGACTAATGGAGTGCACTTAGCAGCTTGCAAGTATTGTCATACTACTTATAAAGCTGATCCAAGCCGCCATGGGACAAATTCTTTACTAAGGCATATCCCAAAGTGTTCAAAGAATCCACACAAGGCCACTACAGATAAAAAACAATCTATGTTAACTCTTTTGTCGGGTCGGACAACTGGGCAAGGGAAATCTTTAGTTTCACATGTGTATGATGAGAAGCGATGTAGAAGAGCTTTGGCTGAATTTATTATTGGTGATGAGCAACCATTCAGAATTGTGGAGAAGCCTACATTTAAAAGATTGTTAAATGAGTTTGAACCTCGCTTTCCAATTCCTTCAAGAACAACAATTGGAAGAGATGTGTGGCAATTATACCTTGGAGAAGTTAAAATATTGAAGAAATTCCTGAAGCAAAGTGCAAAACGTGTTTGTCTCACCACAGATTGCTGGACATCAAATCAGAATTTTAACTACCTATGTTTGACAGCACATTTTATTGATGATGAATGGAAGCTGCACAAAAGGATTCTAAATTTTGTCATGATTGAAAATCATAGAGGTGATACTATAGGGAGGACCATTGAGCAATGCTTGCTGGATTGGGAGATTGAGAAAGTGTTCACTATAACTATGGATAACGCCTCATCTAATGACTCAGCTTTGGGATATCTGAAGAGGCGTTTGAGGAGCTGGAAGGGCTTACTTTGTGATGGTGATTATCTACACCTAAGGTGTTGTGCACACGTCCTAAATTTGGTGGTCAATGAAGGTATTAAAGAAATGAAAGACAGCTTTGAAGCCATTCGAAATGCTGTGAGATATGTTCGTTCTTCTCCTTCACGCTTTCTAAGATTCAAAACTTGGGCTGAAGCTGAAAAAATAGATACCAAGAGCCTTGTTTGCCTTGATGTAACCACTCGATGGAATTCAACGTACTTAATGTTAGAAGCTGCAATGAAATTTCAGAAAGTATTTGAGCGAATGCGTGATGAAGATGATGACTATATTTCATACTTTAGCTCAAGCACTTCAAGCTCAAGGCGTGATGCTTCTAGTTCTGCTAGACGGCAGCGTGATGATAACTTTTCTGGTCCTATTATTGATGATTGGAATAATGCTCGAATCTTCATCAAGTTCTTAAAGGTCTTTTATGACATTACATTGAAATTTTCAAGCTCCCTTTCTGTATCATCAAATGAATGCTTCCACCAGATTGCCCGTGTTCAAAAAATGCTGCAAAAGAATATCATGAATAATACTAATAACTTGTTGAGAGAAATGAGCACCAGCATGCAGGTGAAATATGACAAGTATTGGGGTCAAACCAATAATATGAATCCATTGCTGTTTGTGGCTGTCATTTTGGATCCCCGATATAAACTAGCATATGTGCATCATATGTTTGATCGTCTTTATGTTGATCCTGAAGTATCTTTGATTATGAAGGAGAGGGTCAAAGATTGTTTGTATCGGTTGTTTAATGAGTACTCTGCTGGGACTTCTATTGAATCAGGGACTATCTCTACAAGTACAGTAAGTGGAACTTCATTGCCTTCTTTTGATGATGATGATGATGATGGTGAAGAGGATCCAGGTCATAAGTGGTTAGAATCTATGAAACAAAGAACCTCAACAGATCCTCAAACTGAGTTAGATAGATATCTAGCAACAGACTCAAGAGATGAGATCCCTTCTGCAGCTGAGTTTGACATACTGTTATGGTGGAGAGCTAATTCAGAAAAATATAAAATTCTCTCTCACATGGCAAGAGATGTATTGGCTATGCCAGTTTCTACAGTGGCTTCTGAGTCTGCCTTTAGCACTGGAGGACGTGTGGTTGACCATTATAGGAGTTCTATGTCTTCCAGAATGACAGAAGCATTAATTTGTAGCCAAAATTGGCTACAACCTGGGCAATCAATGTCTGAATTTGTTGACAAGCTTCGTGAATTCGATAATTTTGATGAGTCAGAAAATATCCTTCAACTTGCTAGTAATCTTCTAAACCTCAATAATTCATATATATATATATTACTTCATAATTTGGTGTGTAATTATTCTTTGATTTTTTTTTTTCCTAGGTGTTGCTACATCTGGAGGGGAGATTGGTGATTGAAGGGTTATTTTATAAGCGTGATTGGCTAAGTTGGTAAGGTGTATCTATTCATTCTTTAAAATTTAGAAGTACATTTTTTTAATTGTTTTGTTTATAATATGTTAAAGTTATAGTTATCTTTATTTGTATTTTTTCAGGTGGTCCATCTTTTTGTGGAAATTGTGGAGAGTAAAGCTTCAATTATAAAATTGAGATTGTCTTACTTTAAATGGATTGCTGATGTTATTTAATTGGATAATTGTTAAGATATGTTTTGGATGATTTCTGGATGATTTCACTTGTTTTGGATTATTTCTGGATGATTTTTATGTGTTAAAATGTAGAATTATAAAATGTAATTTTTAGGTATGGATAGAATTTTTTTTTCCATGACATGAGAGCAGGGCATCACTTTCTGGGCAATGAAGCCCGCCCTGCCCATGCCCTGCCCATGCCCTGCCCAAAATGCTTAGGGCTTCAACGGGCAGGGCCGGGCATCGGGCTGCAATTTGCAGCCTGCTCTTACTTCGGGCAGGGCATCGGGCAGGGGTCCTGCCCTGCCCAGCCCTGCCCATGTGCACCCCTATTTATTATTATTATTATTATTTTGCTTTTTATTAAATTATTCGCCAACTCATTGTTCCATTGTTCATGCTTTCTTATGCATTGCGTCAGCTGTCACAAATGAGAGGATAAAATTTTTTTTATATTTATAATTTTCCCCCAACAAAATAGTACTACCTCTAATTTTTAATATAAAAATTTATTTAATTTTTATTTTAATACTAAATATAAAACTTTAATTTTTTTATATTTATTTATTTTTTTAAAATAATTCGTGTAATAATCATAGTTCTCTCCAATTCATTTTATTAGCAAAGATATTTTAAAAAAGATAATACTTATTTATTATAAATAACTAAGTTAATTAGTTTTTTTAATTTACTCAAATTAGTCAATCGATTCTTATACTACCTCTGGTTCTAAAATAAAATCTTATAATTAGAACTAATTGTGATATTAACTGCATGACTGCATGAGGTAGCAATATACATAGGGCCACCCATCCAACCCACGCCCAACAACATTATTGACCTTTTGACCAAACAATGACATTGTCATTTTCTGGAATCATCAATCCACACTTTTCGTAATAAATATCCCCTTTTGTTATCCTGGATTACTTGTTGCAAAACACAGAAAATAAAAGGGAAAAAAAACAAGCCAGTAACGGGTATTCATTTTAGTTATAATTTATAAATATCCTTTCGGTACAAACAAAATTTTGATAAAATAAAGTTATATAATTTACTGCTATGTTTAATTGAAGAGAATAAAAAATATGCCCTTTTATTTTACATTCATTAAAATATGGTAAATCTTATTTCCTTTTTGGGCGGACGTCGTTAACTGGCAATGATGGGTAATTAGTGGAAGGATGTGATGGTCTTCCCTCCAAATGATGAAGCCTTGAAAGTAGTTTTTCTCCTGGCCTTTTTAATTAGTACAAACAAGGGTGATCTTATTTTAATTTAATTTCAGAGAGAGTACAGTGAGGCTATGCAGGGGCACATGCAGAGATAAACTTGCACGCCAGACATAATCATCGTGGTCTTCCTGTTGTAATGGAGCAATTACTTACTAATTACTAAGAATGCTTATATTCCAAGCACCTCATTAGTCCTCAGCACTTCAACCTCACTGGAACGGAACTCACCCAGCCTGTCAATATCATCATATAAAATTGCAGTCAAAGCGTTATATGCTCTGGTCAATTAGAATTAGCTTAGAAAGATGTGTTAAAAAGTTCCTCGTCCTCCTCCCCCATAAATCATTTGTCCTTTTTCTTGGATGATCCGCTCAGTCCGGCCCACTCTTCTGTTTCTTCACAAACCCCACGTCATTGTATCCTCAAATCGCTTGCTTGTTCCGCCTTCCACCACGAGTCATATCCATTAAATCCAGGGGTCTTTTTCGTGTTTGCGGTACGCGCCAATGCAGATTATTGTCGGCTCCGTTCGTCTACTCTGAACGCTGCTCCAACATTGAGCAATGCCGGAGTTGGGGTTTCAGGACCGATCCTCGTCGAGGGCGGAACTCAGACCTCGCGATTGTAGCCCGGACTCTGTTATCTTTACTCTTGAATCTAACTTCAGTCTGTTCTCCTCTGCTTCTGCCAGTGTCGATCGCTGCTCCTTTGCATCTGACGCTAATGAGCATGACTCCCTCGCCTCTGAAATTTCCCTGGTACTTGGGACTTTGTTTCCTTCTCCCTTCCTCTGATATCACTGCCTTCTCTATTATATTCTTTTCCCGGTGACATGCACCCGTGGAAGTCGTACACTGGAACTACTTTCGTGTAATTTGGTCAATTTGTTTTCTTTGTTTCTTATAGAAGGTGCTCGACTTCAACTCTTTTTTCCCCTTGATCTGCTTTTTAAATAATTGAGCTAATAAGAACGCCCTTTTTTTGGATTGATTCCGGACTTGTTAATAGTATTAATCCAATTCACGAGAGGATTACTTCTAAATGTTTGGGGATAGTAAGCTTCCATTTCACTGTACGAACTGTCATGACACGAATAAATCATAATCTGAGCTCAGACATTTGAGGTTCTTCCACTTCCTAGTGTTAAAATCTGGGTCTCTTGCAGCAATTGAGAGTGCGGGATGGTGATTTTTCTCCCATCGAGAATTGGTGTGGTCCGGATCCAGATTCAGATCCAAACAAACATGCAGCAAACAAGAAGCATAGTCGCTTCGTGAGAGAGGAAGAAAAGGCAAAAGGTACTGTTAAATTGTTTTGTTTTTTCATGTTACAAAGATCCAAAATTCGTTAAGCCACCAGGCCTTCCCAACTGATATAAGCGATTCGCCAACGCTTCTCACTCCCTCTATGCACATACGTTTCACGCAGTTCAAAAAGAAGACAGCGATGCTGACGACGTTGAAGACGGTAATCAACTCTTGGAATTGGATTCTGCTAGAAACTCTTTCTCTCTGGCCCTTAAAGGTACCAAACTACCTTCCGTAGCAAAGCTTGGGACTGAGGCTCTTTGCTTTTTACTTTTTAAATCCCAGGAATCTAATATCCTACTTTGCTTCTGCATAACATAAAGAATGCCAAGATCGTAGATCAAGATCTGAAGCTTTATTGAAAAAGCCAGACCGGCGAAGGCCTGCTTCTTTAGATCTGAACAGTGCAATTGGATCTTCACCTCGACTGGGAACCATGAAGAAGAGTTCAGCATCAACTCGCAGGTCTAACAATTTCCCTAGTCCTGGAACACCGAATTATCGGCATGCTGGTGTAGTAATGCAGAAGGGCTGGAGCTCTGAGCGAGTTCCTTTGCATACCAGTGCTACCAGGAAGCAAGTCAGTGCGGCTCTGTTGCCTTTAAATAATGGAAGAACATTGCCATCAAAATGGGAAGATGCTGAGAGATGGATTTTCAGCCCTGTTTCAGGAGATGGTAGGGGGAGATGTTCCCTGCCACCACCCCAGAGGAGGCCAAAGTCAAAGAGTGGTCCGCTTGGTCCCCCTGGATATGCGTATCATTCGCTCTATTCATCGGCAGTGCCCATGCTAGAAGGTGGAAATGCTGGAAATTTCATGGCAGGTTCTCCAGTAACTGCCGGTGTTATCCGAGCCGATGGATTGACAATCCATTCTAGTGGTCATGATGGAGTACTTCCGACTCGAGCAGATCCTTGCATGGCCCGCTCTGCTAGTGTGCATGGATGCTCTGAGATGCAGAATCAGTCACTTTTGTCTTCCCAAGGCATTTCGTCCATCCTTGGACCTTATCTTACACTGAATTTTGACGTATTTGTGAAGTTATACCTAAAATTATCTTCATCGATACAAAATCAACGCTGGGAAGTCACTTATTTAAAGCACGGCCCTAAAGCGTTGACTTCCGATGCATTTGACACGAATTCTCATTACGTAGCTTTCAGTTAATCCTTTGTCTTCTGCGAACCATTCCGTATTTATCGCTGCTAGGTTGTGCGATTGATGCTAGCATCTTCTTTAGACTCTAATAATAGTTTGATATCTGAAACTAAGTGATAATGTAAACGACCGTATGCTTAGTTATGTCATCACAAATATAGATGGTGATATTCTTTACAAGTGCCTTGCTAACTATGCTGCAATGCATCTGATTTTGCTTTCTGGCTATGGTCTTAATATACAGAGGAAAAGTTCGATGGCTCTAATGATGCGGCCACCAATGTGTCTCGTGTCGTTTCGAGGAGGGACATGGCCACCCAGATGAGTCCAGAGGATAGTCCATGCTCCTCTCCCAGTATGAGGGCTTCTTTCTCTGTCTCCCCCACACCTGTGCTGCCCATCATAGATTTCCAGAGAGCCTCTTCTAATATGGATATCAGGGATGTGCAGATAGATGAACTTGTCACCATGACAAGGTGGTCCAACAAGCATAGAGCCCTATTCACTGGCAGAGGCTCGGAATATGTCGACAACTGGAAAAAGAAAGAAAGAAGTGCCCAGTCTTCAGCTTGGGATGTTTCTGAAACTGCAAAGGGTGCTTCAAAGTATGTCCACTTTGGTATTGTATAAATGCGGTTCAATCTTTTCAGGCATATGGATAATTAATTAAGGATCACTTCAGATTGACGCTACTCCAGTGTAGTTATTGGGTTGCACAACGATATTTTAAATAACTTGAATAGGTGCAATAGACTTTTGTGATAACCATTTGATGTTGATGAATGCTTCATGTTTTCTCTCTCTTTTTCGGCCTCTAAATGCTGGCTAATTTAACCGTCCAGGGTTAAGAGGGAGGAAGCTAGAATCACTGCTTGGGAGAACTTGCAGAAGGCAAAAGCTGAGGCAGCAATAAGGAAACTAGAGGTTTTTTCTTAATATTATTCTCTTTAATCCCCAGCTCTGCTGATTTTTCGTTGCAGCATTTCGGCAATCCCCCACCCCCCCGGTTGGGGGGGGGTTTCACAGGAGATCTAAACTTAGACGGAGCAACATGCTCACTACTATTTTCGTTATTTCAGATGAAGTTGGAGAAGAAAAGATCATCTTCTATGGATAGGATTATGAACAAGCTGAAATCGGCTCAGAAGAAAGCCCAGGAAATGAGAAGCTCAGTTTCCGACAACCAGGCCCATCAAGTTGGCAAAAATATCCACAGGGCTCTATCTTTCCGTAGACCAAGCCAGATGGGCTCTTTGAGTGGATGCTTCACCTGCCACGCCTTTTGATGCGTCATCCTCTACTGTTTATTCCATTGTACATGTGATGCTGGGTAAATTTCCATGTTCAACCTGATCCTAGCTTAGACAACACTCATTTTCATACCTTTGATACAATTGGTTTTAATTAATTTATTTATAGGTGTAAGCTGCTCAATCCGAGTTTTCTAAAAATTTGGAAAGTTTTGGTTTGTCAGTGTGCATCTGGAAAGTAAAATGATTTCATTGGCTGGTTGTATCCCACAGATACATGACATATTTTTTTTCCTGGAATCATCAAGAATCTTACAAAGCCCATAAACATTTTCTAGCAAGAGCTTCACCTAAACGTTCGATGGCCTTAAATGGCAAATTGTACTATTCATTATTATACCTCTGTACGCTGTTCTAACAGAAGATCTGATGCTTCTGTGACCAGGTTTCTGAAGAATTTAAAAGGATCATCTGCATCTGAAAGAATGTTGTGCTGAATAGAGCAGTCACTACTCTGACACTCACTTGGTGTTACTGCAGTTTTGAAGTTCATAACATCAGCACCTGATCTGGTATTCATCTCCGCTTTCCCAAGAAATCTATAATCTGCAGGTTGTCAAATCTAGACCATTGAATCAATTAATTTGTCATCTGAATTCATGACATCTGAGCAATCTAGATACTCTGTTGGATATATCAATATGTCTTGATCTTTTATGATGCACAGTTGAATATTTAGATTATTCACGTGTCATGATTTTAGTAGGTAGATGACGAATTATTTGATTCAAGGCTTGAATTTAGCGAACTTCAGCTGTGAGTGTCCTGAAGATCTAAATCCTCTCCGTGGAAAGCGCTAATGAAAGGCCAGGTTTCCTCATCCTTGAGAGTGACTAGTTAATAATATGTATTTACTCACGTCAATCTTTAGAAATAAGCTTCTTTTGTAAACTTCTCTGCCTCCAATCCTTGATGACTGTTCGTGGTCAAATGTAATCTAGCTACACTAGAAAATATTATGCACGCAGCTCTATTATTTATTCTTTCCTTCAATCTTGAGCCTGAATGCATCTTAATTGGAGATAACTGTTCATAAGGACCAAATGACAAGGGCAGTAGTTATTAGAGACGTCAAATTTGCGTAATTACCAGTGTTAGTGAGATTTTGCGGGTGTGCTAGAGATTTTAGGGATCATATCTATCTCGGACAACAACAACAAAAAAAGAAGGCTTCAAATGATTTTGGGTTCCTTAACAGACTTATAACAAAGAGAAATACTTTAATTTCGGATGAGTACGTGAGATGGGAATTCGAATCAGTAATGATAGTAGTTCTAGTGAAATATGATCTCCTTACATTACAAATTACAAACTAGATTTTATAACTGGAGGTATTAAAAAATACTACGGCTGAACACAAGTGATCAGAAAATAGGGAAAATGCAATGGACGATATGCAGGGTAGTTGGATTGAGTAATGATTGATAGTTGATGCTTCATTCTTCATGTTTATTGTTTAATGGTTGGTTGGAGGAGGCTTCTCAGGTCATAAACGGGCAAAGCCTGACCAAAGCTTTAATTTTAGGCAGCACATTTTTCACTTTGATCACTTTCCTTATTCTTACATTTCAAGCGTCGCTAGTGGACTACGGAGGTAGTGGCTCTGGCGTGATCTTCGACATAGTGACCAAAGCTTCTAGAACATTCATAATTTTTTTTATATATATACAATAGAACATTCATAATTATGATCATATTAATTATTTCAAAGCCTCTTAAATTGTCTTCGGTTTGGGCCTCTAAAACTACAAATTCAGTGCAACCAGCTGGTAAGACCCAAGGTATTAGGAATTAATTTATATTGTAAAATGAGGTCTTGTTTAATTTACAGGGAATATTATGTAATTCGCAAGAGGTCATGTGCAGAGTTTGAAATACTCGGATTAAAAAATTACACAAACGCTTTACATAATTTACAAAAAAATCTCAGTTTATAAAAGTATCACTTCATAATTTGTCTTCCAAGATTTATTGTACAAAGTTTGAAAGATCTGGATGCCCAAAAACAATTACAAAAGGTGTTTGTATAATCTTACTTTTACCAAAATTACGAAGTCTTCTCCTCTATTTATAAAGCTTATAATTTAGTTTAATTTTTTTCGTTGTTTGCAATGTTTGTTTAAAACCCTAAAATGTTTTTATATTAAATGAATTTTATACTGTAAAAATATAATTATTCATTTGCCCTTTGAAATTTGGTGATCTGCTTTCTCCCCCATTTTCTCGTTTAAACAAGTTTAAATAATTAAGTATAGTAATATTTAAATAAACCCTTATGGCTAACCGTCCTCGGCGTCGTTTTCGCATATATATAGCTGTGCACTGTGCTACCCGTAGCAAACTCATAATTCTAACAAGTTAGAGTGTATTTGGATTAACAGTGATAAAACTAACTTTTATCCTAAATGACTTTTGGAAACTTAAGTTAAAGTAAAAATCAGTTGATATAATTTGATTTATGTTTGGATTGATGTTTATAAAAAGTCAGTTAAAAAAACTAAAATTTATTTGGATAATTAATAAAAATTAAGTTTATATGTAAAATAACTGAAAAGGACATGAACTTTATTCAATTTTAATGTTTTATATTATATGATATTAATATGATAATTATTAAAAAATAATTAAAATTATAGTTGTAAAATAAAAATGTCTGTTAGTGAGAAAATTTTGAACATACTTAGAATATAATTAAATATATATAATTAATTTGAGAATATTAAGAAAGTTAAATAAATTATTTTGAAATATTTATGTTTATTTTTTTCCAAATTAATTTGCTTGACTTGTAAATTACTATGCAATCTAATAATATACATAAATATTTTAAAAAGATCATGTAACATAAAATATAATTAAGTAATTTATTTAACTTTCTTAATCTTTTCAAATTAGTCTGTTAAATCTTATATTAGAAGGCTAAAAGCATTCTCTCTCTGGCAAAAAAAATAAAAACATTTTATCATTCACTTGTGTGGACCACATTAGTTGTGGTGTAGAAGGCAAAAGTTTACTCTTTGGAGCGCTAGAAAAAAAGTCAGTTTATGGCATAAGTTCATTTTCATTCAACGGCAATCCAAACATCTGTAATTTTCAAATCTGTTCCTAACTTATGTTTCACATTTTCCAATGCGCGTTTACTCCTGGAATCCCCATACCAAACATGCTCTTAATAGGTAGTTTGTGCGATATCATGTATACTCGTATTTGGTCCATGATAGTGACGACTCATTGGGTCCCTCTGATGTGTGGTGGAATTGTGAAACATTGAAATTTACACATCTATAGCCAATTTGGTGTGGAACTTCGCCATTCATATCCAATCCGGTTTTATATTATTCAAAAGCAGAATAGTTTTATCAAACGATACAATATCTTATACAGTGTCAATCCGAATACTATGTAGAACTAGCCATTTATGAGGTCTTGTCCTATCAGATCTTATACCAGGTTTCATTGTATACGAGGTGCCTAACGGGTTGCCGATTCTTGTACTATACGAGTATATGTTAAGTCTTATCCTACGGATACCGCGTCCCAAATGGAGCGGAGAATGCAGATTTTAACACTACTCATCATGCAACATTACTCATCCTTGGCAGCCTGTGGATTCTGCAGTTTCGTTGATGCAGCTAGCGTACCCAATCGAGTAAGATTCACATAATCCTGAATAACGTGAGCTGATAATCCAGGAAATATCAACCCAATCAGCCTGAGTATTTTCATCAACCACGTTTCTCTGTAGTCCTCACCTTCAACGAACGGGATAATAAAACCTCTAACTAGCTCCCAAGCCGCATTTATGTTCTTGGGTATTGCCCACAACAAGGAGAAGTAGTTCTTGTTTGGCTCCTCCTCCAAAACCTGCATTTCAATATACAAAACCACAAAGCTCTCAATTCATAATCACAGCAAAGCCCAACACAGAAAAAGAACACAAACCAATTGATTCAGTTCATACCTGTCCTTGATAAAAGCTATTGAAGAAGACGCATGGACCAAAGTGCTTAAACAAGAGGGTTTTGTCATCGTAAGGGACCCTAGGCACGACGTCGTTGCCATAGACATACCTTACGTACTTCACATCGTACTTTTTCAACTTGTCCTTCATGAAGTCACCAAGCTGTTGGTCCCCAACTCTGGGCTGGCCAAACGTATAAACGCCTTCTAACTTATCCAGCAACCATGCCTCGTCGTGAAGTGTTAGAACAGTCGCAAAGAGAATGGCCAAAGCTCCTCCCAAACTGTGCCCTGTCACTATAAATTTTGCAGTCTCGTTTTTCTGCAGAATCTTTTTCAGATCTTTTCTTATTGTGTAGTATGCAAACTTCTTGTGTTCGGCCTCACTGGTTTCGTCTATCTCCTTGGGCCACCCACCATTCTTCTGGAGTCCCAAAGCCTTCATGAAGCCTCCATGGATTTTGCCCACTTTGGGAATCTCGTACCATGATATGTCCACATCTGTGATCCATTGGCCAGCATCAAATAGCCCAGTGCCCCGAAATGCAACTACGATCAAGTTGGGTTCAGACTTTGTGTCTTGGAACATGATTGCGCGGGTGGAGTCAGCTTGCTGGTATTCTGCACACCATTATTTTATTTTAGTTAAAGTGTAAAAAATTCCCCACTTGGATGTAAACTATATGCACCTTCCACCAACTGCAACAGCAGACAAAAAAATTGATAAACGAAACTCTCGGAAAAGTTAACAATTTGATTAAGTAACATTGTTTGTCTGCTACTTCATTGATAATAATCAATCATGTGCGGAACAAAATATTTTGGGGTATTAGAGAGTGACCAGGTGAAGTCTTTATCGATTCTCTAACATCATAGAACATTTACTTGGGAAAAAATCTATTTGTGAATGTCTCAAGTATAGGAAAGTATAAGTTCAAGGTTTAGAAAAAAAAAAGGAAAGAAAGAAAGAAAGAAAAGAAAGTATTTAGATTTTTTTTGGGTGATAGAAATTATATTTAATTTGATCAAAATATATGTGGAAAGTATGCCTGCAGGTACCGTAATCTTGGGTATAATATTACTGCCAATAACAATGTTCCAAGAGGGAAATGACTCACCTTTAAAAACGAGGGGCGGCCGAGAAAAAGTTGAGTAAAGAGTCAAATGGCCCACTTTTAGAGAAAAAGCAATTAATTAATAATATGGACACTTTAATTTCACCGATTTAATTTTGTTGTCATACAATAATAATATAACTATTGTTTCAAAGAAAAGTAATAATTTATTTTGCATTACAGAATTTATGTAAAATATTATTTCTCCGATTTTAAATATAAAATCCACTTTATAATGTAAATTTTATATTATAAAATGAGTATTATATTTAGAAATAGAAGAAACGAAAGGACTAGTGGTGTTATTAACAAGTTTCCTGCGAGATTATTCTAGTTGGGTCAAATAAATACACTCAGGTAATTAAACGTAGGCGGGAATTATATGATGCCAATATATGAGTCAGCAGATCCTAAGAATTAACGCTCATTGCTAGCCAGCCTGAACTTTCCCTCTTCATTTGTTTTTTTTCCTTTTTCTTCAAAACGTGATTTAGGCTGTAAAAAGGAAAAGCGCATGCATATGGAATAAGAATCATCGTGATTTAAGTAACTCAGGTCGGCCCTTTTACTGTGATGCCGGCCAGGCTAGCTGCCACCTTGGAAAAGTAAAAATATATATTCTCAGAAAATCCAACTCAATCAAAGAGGTTATGTCTCGCCTATTAAGTGCTCACTAGATTCAGATCTATTTCGTGTCTTGAAAGAAAAAATTACTCAAGGTTTGCTTTATAATTACCGTTCCAGAAGTTGTAGAACCTCAAGGAATCCATCTGCAATAACAATCACAAAGAAAAATAAAATTAAAAAACAATACCCTGTTCGATCATTAGAGAAAGCAATAATGAAATACATGATGGGGTTTTTTTCCCTTGGCTAATATTATATAGCCCAGAGAGACAGTCATGATGAACAATAATG